CCCTTCAGAATCCTGTTCAACTCCTTAGCAGTTTTATTTCTTCCCTTTGCTTTGGATTCTTGACATTCTAGTGTAATATTCAGAGTCTTTTCTGACATCCATTTTTATCTTTTATTCTTCCTCTGTCTTTGTAATGACTTTTTGTGTTCTTCATGGATGTTATGCCTGATATCTTTCCACATCTCATCGAGTGTTTACTCATTAGTTCAAAGGCCTCAAACCTGTTCCTGAGATGATCTTTAACTTTACGAGGGACAGACTCAGGGTCAAACTTTAGTTCTTGTGGATTGGATTTTATTTTAACTTCAGTTTGAATTTGCATAGAAGCAGTTGATGATCTGATCCACAGTCAACATCTGTCCTACTTTTCACAGCTGATAATGAGCTTATCCAACAGTTTTTCCCACATATGTAATCGATCTGATACTTGTGTAGGCCATTAGTTTAGGTCCATATGAATAGTCACTGTTTGTGTTTCTTATTCTTGATTGACAGGTTTGTATTCTTTGAGTGCCAGACATATGTCATTCCACTGTCTTTTTGCATGCATGTTTTCTCTTGTGAAATCAGCACTTAATCTTATTGGCTCTCCTTTTAGGTTTCTCTTTGTTTTTCCCTAGCTCCTTACAGAATTCTCTCCTTATCTTTGTGGCAAGTTTGACTATGATATTTTTTGGTGTTTTTCTTTTGAGTTCCATTCTGTATGGGGTTTGCTTAGCTTCTTTCATCATATTCTTTCATTATGTCTGGAAAGTTTTCTTTAGTAACTCTTCCACAACTTTATCAGTGCCTTTTTTTACTTCTTCCTGTTTTGAAATTCCAATTATACACAATGTTATTCCTCTTGATGGTGTTCTACATTATTGTTAGGCTTTGTTCCTTTTCCTTTGTTTTTATTCTACTTTTTACTTTAGCAGATCAGTGCTGAGAGCTCTATCTTCTATTTCTGATTCTGTATTCCATCTCTTCAATTTTGCTTATCTGTCCCTCCAATATGTTGAAAACTTCTGAGATGCTTGTATTAATATTCTTCATTGTGTTTTCCTGTGTGTGTGTGTGTGTGTGTGTGTGTGTGTTTAAATATATAGTTTCTAGTGCCTATAGTGGAAAGAAGCTGCACTGCAATCCCAAAGGCATGCAGTTTGAGGCCACCAGCTGCCCCACAGGAAAATGATGGGCAATCTCCTCCCTGATTAATTGCCTCCGAAAACCCACCAGAGGGCCAGCTACGAGTTGGTTCTGACCTAAGGGTAGACAATAACAACAACAGTGCTTCATTTGTTTTATCTGAATTTTCTTGAATTAGTTTTTTTCTTTGAGTTCTTGGCTCTTGCTTTTAGAAAACTGCAATTCTTTGAGTTTTTCTTTCTCCCATTGAAAATATTTAACACTTGTCTTTCGAATTCTTTGTCAGAAAGTTAGATCAGACTTTCTGGATTCAGAAAATCCATTGATTCTGTGCTTTGATCACTTTTATTTTGGGGGGGGTGACATCTTGTTTTGGTTTTGTGTAAGGTGTAATGTAGTCTGTTTCTTCTGGGTCATTGGTGTGATAGTGTTTTTCTTGCCTGGGGCCCTATCAAGTCCTGGATCTGATGACTTTGTCTGGTGATTTCACTGCACCAGATGAGGGAAGGGCAGTTCACCCTGTCTGAATTTCCTTCTGGTCCTTGGGATCATGAGAAGACTTGCTTCATATGGGTAGCTCAACTCTCCAGTAGGGAAGGGAAGAGCAACACTCTGTATCTGATCCTACCTATCTGGGCCTGTGGCAACATTTTATGGGTGTAGGGGTGGGTGTATCAGAGATGGCACAGGACAAAGCGGAGTTTAGGGCTGTTGTACAGAGGGTAGCTATGAGTCGCAAGCGACTTGACGGCACATAACAACAACAATAAAACAACAGGGGTCCCATTGCTTCTGTTTCTCTCACTCTGGTCCCACAGCTAAGTTCTCCGGGGTGGAAAGCTTGGTATTTACTGGTTTCAGCCCTGTATCCTGAACTCTGTTGTCCTTATTGGCCTATAGAGCACTATGAACAGGTTTACTGACTCTCTTCTCAGTATTGGTGGTGGTGGTTCTGGAGGAAGGTCCTCATCCATTCCTGTGTCTGCTGATCACTGGAGCCTTCCAATTAAGATGCACAACTGACACAGCAGGATGATGCTCCAGTGTAGAATGATGTCTTAGCTTGAAGTGGAGATTCTATGGCTGCTGGCAGTCATCCCCAAGACCATAAGCTTTTAGGGTAGGCTAGGGCAGGTACTGTATACCATCTATTCCGGGGGCCTTATATTTTGCTATTTCCTTCAAAGCAGCTTG